TTCATTTGCTGAAACCCAAAAAATTACATATTTCAAAAAACCCCAAACACTGAAACACATTAAAAAACCCGACATTTTAATTTTTTAAAAGGAATCCTTACGAGAGCCCCTTATTTAAAGGTATTTTTAAATTTAGTACAGATCAGTAGAACCACACGCCCCCATTGTAGCGACCTTGTGTGTAACAGGGCTTGGTAGAACCGCGGCTTGTAGAAACATTTCTTAACCCCTTTACTAGTTAAGTGTCAAAAAACCGTATACTAAGTTGCCTAAACAAATAGAATTACTTAATTTTTATTTCCTGTACAAAATAAGGGTTATTATTTTCATAATGCGAAACTTTAGGGCTTTCCGCCCGCCTCAAACCTTTAAAAATTAAACTTTAAATGAAGAGCCACCGTGACTCCAAACTTGGCGTACCTTTGCAACTTATTATATTCACAAAAGATTAAAAAACATCTCCAAAATTACCTAGCAAAAATCAAATTTGGGATTTTAATTAGTCAGGGAACACCCAAACCCCAAATTACTGTATTCCCCAAGGAATAAAAATAAAAAACCAAAAAATTTAAAAATTAAAACTAAATCGAAACTAAAAACTCACGAGTCGAACTAATTTGCGTTTTAACCGTGTAGGGTTTTGGGCGACAAATGGGAAAGGTTCTACCCCTTTGTTCCCCGTTTCGCGGGGAAAGGGGAAACGTTAAAGAATCGGGCCCTTTTTACCCCTCCACACTCACGGATGTGGACAATAGGATTTCCACTGACCCCCCGGGGCCAGTGCCAGCAGCTTGGTTGTTAAACAAAATAAAACAGGCCAGAAACTACCTCTTCACCAGCCTTTTACGTTTTTAAACAACAATTCTTTGAAATGTCTGTCAATCTACCAACCCATCCTTTATTCCATCTATCCATAAATCCCACATCATCCATCGTTCACACCTTGAATAACCCCCCCCCCCCCCAAAAAAAAAATTTAAAATTTGTGCCCGTCCTTTCAGTGTTGCAGAACTAACCAATTTCCAGATCCCGGAAAAAAAATTTGGGAAGTGTTGGGTGGGTACTCTTGGTTCTTGTGTTACGGGCAAAATTTAATATTTTTACGATCCCCGAAAAGATCATTGGGGCCAAATTTGGGCAAATGATCAGCGAGAGGTCGGGCCAGCACTCAACCCTTCAGAAAAAGGCAAAAAAGACATCAGGGAAAAAAACGGCCCGGGATCTCGAGGGAAAAACATTTACGGGTGGGAGGGAAAAAAGAATATGGGGTGTACAGAAAGTTTAAGTGGTTTTGTTGTTATTTCTTATCAACTCAACTCCCGAATGGAAATTTTGAAGAAAAGAAGAAGAAGAAAGGGGAAGAAGAAGAAGGGGGAGGAGGAAAAGAAAAAAGAAAAAGAAAAAAGAAAAGAAGAAGAAAAAGAAAGAAGAAAGAAGAAGAAGAAGAAAAGAAGAAAAGGGAAAAAGAAAAAGAAGAAGAAGAAGGAGGAGGAGAATGATGAGGAGGAGAAGGAGGAGGATGACGAGGAGGAGGAGGAATAGAACAACAATAACAGCAAGAAAGTGACCTCGATGATCATACAGATACAGGATGCAACCATTTCTTTCTGAAATTTTATAAGATGTTGAATTAAAAATCGACATCACAGCATTCGGCACACTCCCAAACGCGCCCGTCCCCATCTTCAGCAGCAAGAGTTCCAATTCCCTGGTACCAGTAAATGTCTGATTTTATATTTGTCTTGCTTTTCCCTTTACTGGCGACGTCGGCCGATTCCCCTGGTAAATGTGGGAGGGCCCTTCTCCCCCGGGCCGTAAAGATTTTTTTTTCGTTTTGCAATGTTCCCCCTCGATCCCCCCGAGGGCCCTCCAACACTAGCTTGTCATAGATCAGTTTACCATCAATGGTGCAGAACCGCCAGTCTTTGTTTTCTTTATTTTCCCAAAAACCCAGCATACCCCGGAAGAAAACCCCAAAGGGTGCTAACTACGGACCCCCTAACTCTGCACAGAAGCCATAACCTGTCTCTCCACCTTTCTCAACATGCTTTGTGAGTCAGTTAAAAGCACGGCATGCATATACAGCTGATTTTCAAGCCAGTGGAATGCAGCAGTGACTGCCTCCACCTCCATTCTCAAACTAGACGGTGTGATATCATATGCTAGGTGATATCATATGCCACTAAGCGACGTCTTGCGCTTTCGCTGTAAACCCTTATGCATTTCGCCTACCCCTAAACGCAAAGCCATTTATATAGATAATCAAATCGCTTGGGCAGGATTTATCATGAATCATTTGTTGAACTTCTGATTCTGCAGCACCAGCTGGTCAGTCTCTGCAATCATTACCCAAAGTGATAAGAACACTACACAAGTCTGAAACTTGCTCGGACACCTTGACCCACGTCTCACCTCGCACCAATTTATCAAGCTTGCACACATGTCTAATTTTGGCTTCAGCTTGCGCCATTCAAGACCTTCCTCCTTTCAGTCTGTGACT